ACGTACACTCAGAGTAACACCACAAATATCATATTCACCTGAGTACACTACACCAACACAGAAAAAATTCATATTACTAGAAAGCATTGGTATTGAAGGAACTAGATTCTGTTCCGAAATATCACTTACTCGAACCGTCCTGACCGCGTAGCTCAGTTGGAAGAGCATTGGGCTAGTATTCCAAAGGTCGTAGGTTCGAATCCCACCGTGGCCGGGCATATTTTTCAAGCTCGCCCGGTGTGGATATACACTCAGAGTAACACCACAAATATGATATTGAAGGACTTCATAAATAAGGTTATGGTGGACTTCGCCGAATGCATTTTTGAGATCTAATAGTGTTATGATAAGTGATCGTTGTTTTACACGCGCTTCATTAATGATATGTGCCAACTGTGCTGTGTGTTCTAGTATTCCTGAGAGTTTTGGAGTGAAACCTTTCTGTATGTTCTGTTCAATGTAATTGTTTTCTGCAAGAAACTGAAATGTCCTGTTGCGAAGACATGATGTGAAAACTTTGAGTGGGACAGATTCGAGAGTAATGGGTCGAAAGTTCGCTGGGTTTGCTGTTTCTCCTTTCTTATGAATTAGAATCGTGCATGCTTTCTTCCATTCAGGCGGGACAACACCGCAAGACCAGGCTGCGTGGATTATCTCAGTTAAGTACGAGCGCAAATAAGGACAGCGTTTAAAACAGATGATAGATATTTGATCAAGTGGACATGGTGAGCCAGACGGTTTCATTTTACGGATGACATTTGTAATCTCTTGATAGGTCGGGGGGTCAAGATTAAAAGGCGTCTGGGGAGATGCAAATTTTGGGATCCAACTGGGGATGTTGAATGTTTTAGTTGGGCTAATCGCGGACAATGTTTTGGTAAAATATGATGTACATTCTGCTATAATAATAATAATAATAATAATAATAATAATAATAAAAATAACATGTATTTCTATATAGCGCCATTTCCTGTAGCTCAATGGCGCTTTGCAGCATTTAAAGAATTTAAAACTTTAGTGTATTTACATCAATCCATTAAAAAATTTAGTATATTTACCATTACTATATAAAAGTCAATATAAGAAGTGAATTAGATAAAAAGTCAGTTAGATAGATATACAACTACAAATAATTAAAATTGGTAAGACTAGTGTCAGTTACTTATAGAAATGTCTTCACTTTTGTTTTAAAAACTATAATATTATTTTAGGTATTCCAGCTACCGGTATTATTCCGGGTATTATTCCAGGTATTATATAACCTTGTCTTTTAAATCATAGTAACGACTGTTTATATAATTAGCTATTTAAACTACAATTCCACAATATATAGTACTAAATTGGGGTAATATTTTACAGTGATCTGCGCTGTAAACCTGCTGATATGCATGTTGTATACGTATACTGAGTGTAGCCATAGCTGCATTATTGCCCAACTGGGTAAACCAAACCTCTAAACATATTATTATTATGCAGTTTATGCTTTGGTTAAGCTTTGGTGTAATTGAACATTGTATATACTAAGTCAAGATCAATTTCATGTTCTGTTTGTATTCTATGTGGAGACAGAAGGTTGTATTTGCATATACTATCACTATTTATATAGTGGATGCCTATAAATACTGAGTTTGGCCATATAGTGCTCGCTTTTTGCTTAGTTTTTAAAACGGCCTGTCCGGAGAAGAACGGCCCACCCAGACATCCCACCCCTTCGTTTGTGTGGGTCGAACTCCGCCGCACACCGTCTCAGCCATGTTGCGGTTCCAGCCTGGTTGAGACTGGGCTGAGCACCATTTACTCCATTCCTTATTCTAGCTGAGCAAAGAGTAGAGTACTATGAAATAGGATACTATATGTTCGTTAATTCATGTTGTTCTGAAAGCACGGGCATGGGACAGCAGAACATGCAGTTTTTACACTTAATTTTGAATAGTATTCCAGTTGTTCATGATCAGTCCCGATCAAGTTGGTCTGTCCGCTTTGGAAACATAAATCGGATAGTTATGGTTTTCGTGTGCTTACGTGATACTTTATAATGTTAAATGATACACAATATATTCACAAGAAAAATTAAACACTGTGTTATCAACAAACAGTTGTCTCAACCTTATGTTGACAACAAAGCGTTGTGCTTTTCTGATGAATATGCTGTATCATATTCATGTTTCCCCTGATGATGTTATATGGTTAAAGGTTCTAACATTTAGTTTAGCTTTGTATTTGCAATGTATAGTCGCTCAAGGTGCTGTTCTGCACGCATCGATAAAATTAGAATGTCCACTCGGTGACATAAATGCAAAACGCGTCTCGCTAGAGGCGTTTTTGAATGTTCACGTCCACCAGAAGTATTTGATTAATTAGTATAAGGTTTGAAAACTAGCGAACAAAAGACGCTGTACTTACCCCATTGACATTAACTGCTACAAGAAAAACGACAGAAAATAACCACAGAATGCTCATGTTTATTTTCGTGATGACCAGACCTTTAAATTTGGTATACTGATTTTTAGTATCATTTATTAGGGCCTACAATAGTATATAGGTTGTAGGAAGTATTAAAACAATGACGTTTTTTGCTGAAACGGGATTATAATTTATTATTTTTCTGTCGGCCTTCGACAGTCAGTACTTCCTCTACTGTAGTTTGACATATGCCATGCAGGCATGCATAAAACACGTGCGACGTGCAGTCAGGGACGTAGGCCCTACTGGCTAGGGACGAGCCGACGAGAACTTGTTGTGGGCCCCTGTCATCATGGAAAAGATAAAAAAATATAGATTTAACAAATTACTGTACATTAATTCGAAATTGGGAAGAAAATTCATTATATATAGCGACGGGAAATAATGGGGAAAAAAGATTAATTAGCGACTGAAATGTTAACGTTTCATCCTTGATCCATCCGTCACTGAGCCTGAGCCCCATCAGACGTACGTTTCTCATTCGTCGTCCTTTTCAAGATCCTTTTGGTCCCTGGCAAGAACAACTTGAATGATAGTCAGGGTTTTCAGTTCCGCTATACCCCCCCGAAACCCGTTGCAGCGAAAACCCTAGCTGACACAGGCTGGTCACGTGGCACCCAGATTTTGGGTGCCACGTGGAAGTATATCACTAGGGTGGGGTAGGAAAAGAGACATTTGCTATCAATACAAAAATAGAGACGCTTATAGATTTTATAGACATTATAGCCTACTGTCAACTTGTTATGGATTTGCGGCGTTTGACGGACACATTTGACAAACGGATAACGCTTGTTATAATCCCAGTTTCCAAACTTGAGAGTTGAGATAATTTACGAAGTTATGAACTAACCATATGAAAAGCATTGCATATACTTTGTAAAACTATCTGAGAATTTTGTATATTGTCAGAAATAGTGTTATGGTTGTAATGCTTTAAATTTGTTCTATTTGATGCTTTTGTTTACTAATTGAACAAATATTATTATTATTATTATTATTATAAGCATTTATTTCAACACGATTAAATTCGCAGCATAGCTGATGTGGTCGTGCATTTACGTAGTTATGTGCCTAACCCACCCTGTCAACTCTCCCTGTGGGAGGAAACACGGAGTACCCGGAGAAAACCCACGACTTTCGGCAGAGCGTTGACTTTACTCTTTTCACATTAGGACTGGGTTCCAGTCACAATGAGAAGTCCTCACTGAGATTCGAACCCGCGGCCTTAAAGGCGGTTTTCCACTAGGCGAAATTTTTCGACCGAATCCAAATTTCTCTTTGTCTTTTTACAATTAGTTCTGCTCGAGAGCTCTGAAACAAAGAGAAATTTCGATTCGGTCGAAAAATTTCGCCTAGTGGAAAACCGCCTTTAGAGGTGAAAGGCAAGTGCGCTAACCACTTTCGTAATAATGTAAATACAATGTGAAATTTCAAAAGTTATAAATAAGCGGTAGCCGAATGGGCAATTGTTTGTATAGTTATTTGTCTTTAGTATTCGAAGCTAACCCGCGCCAACACAAGATGTACATTTTATATGAAATAGTCTGAATAGTATGACCGAAGTCCGATACTGCATGTGTATGTGGTTTGGTTTTATCGTCGTTGAACTAAAGATATAATAAAACAATAGCTACCTTTATGCGGTTTAAGTGCTGCACGTCCCCGTGTTTACTTCAGTCTTAGCTGTATTATAGGCCTATGTCAAATTGCCATACATGTTTCATGGGGTTCTAAATATTAATGCTTGTCGCAACACAAATCATAGTTATATAGAAGGATCGAAGACTGAAAGTGAAATGTAAGAATGCAATATTTTAGAATATAGGTATATATTGAACGTTTTTTGGACTTTTGCGAGATTTATAACTGCATGAGCTCGTAATTGAGTGTACACGCTACACGAAACTTCAGTATATATACATGCACGCTTTAATTTATAATGAACACTTGCAAACCACCTCAACAATTGGTTAACTAATATAGTTTTTCATGCAGATAACTTTTGGGTTTATTGGAGTAATTTGTTTCACGTTTATTTACGTTATAAACTGATAAGAACATCGGTGTGAAAATCTTGCAAGTTTAAAACATTGTCGTTCAGAGTGTGCTGTCTGGCAACCACACGTCGAGAAATCTGTTTCATTTGTACAGAAAATCGCTAACATTTATGGACAAAATCGTTTTACAATAAAATGGGATTCAATTGTGAAGAGGCGAGCTCTGTTTTGTCAGTTGTGCTGTCGGGTTTCGCTCTTATTGCAAACGCGTATTGCAAAGTTCTCGGCATTTTTGTTGTTTCGCTATACTTTCCGCTTTAAAAGAGTAATATTGAAGCATATACTGGTCTAATTGTTTTAAAAACATGCCTAAGCCACGACAAAGTATTCAAGGTGCTTGAAATATTTGCTAAAATTGACTGGGAATATTTAGAGATTTCATCGTAGAATGCGTGATTATATTCATTTGCTCTTTGACTAAAATGTCTAGCTGTATTATTGCTAAACATGCCGTTTTTGAGAATTTGGTTTGCAACTAGGTTTAAACATGCAATCATGCACGCCATCAGCCCATTGAAAACAGTAGGTCACGTCAGCTAGTTTCCTATCCATTTATTTTATTATCCATGCATGCAACAAGGAAGATCTTTTGAGAGCAAAGTTGCAGTAAAACTTAATTTTAAGATAAAAGTGTTTGAATAATATGATGTCAGCATAAAAACATAAGTCCTGCTGCAATTTAAATTTATATATTGATGTTACGCACCGCTATATAATCGTCTCGTATTTTGTTCTTACTTTGAATTAACGAGAAAAGTATATCATTTGAAAGCCTAAAACCCATATATATCCATACTGTATAAGAACAAATTACTATTTCGTATTACTATTTTCAAAACTATGCAGAAAACTGTAAACCAAAATTCAAAAAGAACGATCATCATATTCATACACAACACATGCAATTAGAACTCAGTTTAAAGCCGGATCATGTATTTATACGGCAGACGCAAAACTGAATCAAATTTACATGCACGGTACGCACTTGCCTCGCTGATTCCATCCATACATGCATGTATCTCCTATACATGTGATGCATGCATGGAGTTTGCTATTTTAATGGTAGCCTAAAGACAATTATAATCATATATATTTTCTACTTCAAGTGTATAGGCTGTGAAGGTCCTATACTGCATGCATGTAACTCAAGCTTGATACGGATTAGGTCTGTTCATTCAGTGCATAATAATCGGCATGTATGGATTCTATCAAAATGATGTGATTCAAATATATCCCATGCACAACAAGCTAGCATGTATACGTTAATTGTCTGTTTAATAAATAAATCTACTTAGACAGCATCGTTCCACAAATGTTTACCTAGACCTGTTTTGAATTATAATGGCATCAATGCATGCATGTTGTTTCCCTTTCAGCACCGATCATTTACATGCATGTCGCATTTTGTTTACCAAACTATAAGTTGATGCATTATTTTATACTATACTATGTTTAAACTTAATATACTCTTAATACAATAAATATATTTAACCCACCCTACAGTGAAACCAATGTAGGAAAATGTTTCCTCGAATTAATCGACCGTCACTTTCCAAAATCAAACCCACTCAGCAAAATATTTAATCGCCATAACCTCAAACTATAAGCTATACAGCTGTATGAATAACATTAAAACTATGATCTCGGGCCACAACAAATGGCTCAATTATCCAAACCAAAGGCCACCGCGCCGCGATACAACGAAAAATTGCAATTGCAAAAAAAGTCCTTGCCGAATGGACAAAAACTGTCAGGCTGACAGCATCATGCATATACCAAGCTGAAGTAACTACGGAGGATTCGCAAGAAACGTACGTCGCGGACTTTGCGATACTGAATTCAAGTTAAGGTATAACAATCACCAATGCTCGTTCAATCATGAAAGGTATAGAAACGTAACGCAGTTAAGTATACTAAACACATATGGAACCTGAAAGACCAAAAGATCAAATACCAAATCAAGTGCATGGAAGCAAGTAAGACAAGTTAGATCATACACCAACGTTAGCAAAAAAATGCAACTTCATGTGCCTGTGGGAGAAATATTACATAATACGTCAACGTAAGACTGCAACGCTCAACAAAAGAAGTGAACTTATGTCGGAATGTAGACATTCAAAGAAATTTTTATTGTACAATGCAATTACTTAGTTAGAACGATGAACTACAGGGTGTCCCAAAAACCCCGAAAACTATTGAAATCACCAATAACAATTTAATTGTTAGAATTTGAATGCCTTAGCGCTCTGTTGGTTCCCACGAGTGCATAAATGATTGACATAAGTAAATTTTATGCATAAAGAAACTGTTTAAGAAGCTATTTTTAATTCCCAGGAGCAGAAAATTGCGCACTTTACCAGGAGATATTCCTAACTAAATTCTAATACATGCACCTTGTCAATATTTTACGCATCATTACGTCCAGCTGTTTGATAGGGCATTCAAATTTAACAATAAGTGATTTCAATAGTTTTCGTTTTTTTTGGGACACCCTGTATAGCTTTTAACACTTAGCATATAAACAATATCTTAATCCATCCGCGAAACAATACAACAATGAACATATATACAGGGTGTCCCAAAAAAAAGTGACACTATAGAAATTATCTCATTGTCCTTAAGCCGCTCTTAAACGCGCGTGATTACACGCCTGGGAATTTAATGAACTTGTATTTACATTTAAGCATTTTAAAACGTTTTCGCTTTGTCCAAATATTTTAACGCCCGAGTCAAGCAAAACGATTACACTAATAAACGGTTTGCTTTTTTATTTTAAATTCCAGAAGCAGAAGTTTATGCACCTGTGGGATCAACTTAGTCCTAGGGCATTCAAATTATAACAATAGGATAATTTCTATAGTGTCACTTTTTTTGGGACACCCTGTATAGTACTTAAATTTTATACAAATTCAATATGACTTTTTAGCAATGAACTTGCCATGTAATCTAACATCTTCAATCGGCATTCGCCTGACGATTGCTTCAGTAGAAGCATGAAACTCAGAGTAGCAATTAAATGTTTTTAAACTAAGAAGTCTCTCTTAACTCTAAATAGCTCTAGTATATACCTATTGAGCGCTTTCAATACATGTTGATGAGGTCTACACACCACAACCTATATATATAGATTGATAAGAAACTAAGTAATTGAGTAATATATATATATATATATATATATATATATATATATATATATATATATATATATATATATATATATATA